CACAATCTGAACAACCTTCCTTGGCTGACTCCTCAGGAACTCAAGCTTGCCTCGGACCTTCGGAGAACGATGTTGACCTTGGTGTTGAACCAATTTGGCAAGTAGACACTCACGATGAATTGGACAATAAGTCTCAGGTTGTGAAGCTGGTTCCCTTTCAGTTTATGATGAGCGACCCAAATTCTGCAGAACCTGAGAGCCGTTGTGAACCACCTAGAATGTGAGACTGGACCTATCTGCAGGTAAGCAAGTCTATCAGGCATGACCCCAGTTTTGATGGCACTGCAAATCATGTAACCTTAGTACTGGTCAGTACTCAGGTCGTCAATGACAGTATGTGCAAGCTCAACGAGTGGAGGGCCAACTGTGATTTTTTCAAAGCTCGGATTTATTTCTAACTCAGTGGCAGAGTCCAGCATCTTGCCAAGAGGACCAGACCATCTGTTGTTTGAAAAGAGTCAACGCCATCAGCTGCTTAGTTAAGGTGTCTGAGTGGCAACTCGTGGGTGTGGAGGTCACAAACAATCAGACCAGCTTCCTCCCCGATATAGCTTCTATCCACTGTGACCCTCCCCTTTACCACCCTGTGTTCGTGTTGGTGCACAGCCACTCCAATGGCCTGCAGGGTCTGGTCTCACGTTCCTCTCTCTGAGCCAGTTCACAATGTTATCTGCCACTATCTCAGCTGGTTTCCTGGTGTCATCTTTCTCTGGAGTGAAATGCCACAAATACTTCCCTCCTGGTTCACTGCAGCAGGAGTAGTGTTCCTCCTTCACCATGGCAGGGAACAACTTGTCAGAATCTCCAACTTTCATGAACACTTTAGTGTCATCCTTTCTCCCATCAAAGAACAAACAATTGATTCCATTTTCTCTTATCCCCTTATCAAACTCCTCTTCTAGGTTACTGACAAGTTTCTCCTGAGCTCTCCTTACTTTGTTATGATCTATCACCAGGTGAACATCATCAGGTGTTATCAAACCACCGTCAATCCAGGCAACTGTTGCTATCTGTGCAGTTTCTCTGAGACCAGTGTGGTGTCGCATGCTGGCCAGAGCTATGCTCGGGATATCTTTCCTATTTCGAATGTTATGCCTGGAAGGTTTGGGATCATTATTTTCTGGGTTAGGGACAAAGTCACCATTCTCCTGGTCAGCACTCGGATCAGCCATTGGGAAGTCATTAAACTCTGAATCAGCTTGACTCCAATCATCGGCCTTTTTTACCTCACCCTGGGCCTTCTCAAGTCTCTTTTCCTCGGCAACTCTTCTCCTCTTCTGTCTCTCTTCAGGGCAGCTCTGTCTCTTTGACTCGGAATATCTTGGCTAGAAATCATGAGAGCCCCTATACTGCCAGTCTTCTCTCTCTGTGCTTTGACAAATGCCTGTTCGATCACAGGAATCTTCAGTTCACGCTTGCAAATACAGGAGATGTGGGCCTCGGATTTACAGTCACGATCGCATCCAAACTCAGGACAGAAAACAATTGGGCACTTGCAAGTAATTATGTCAAATAACTGGTCCAGTTGCTTGGCAAAACTGTCCTTAACTGCAAGTTTTCCTCTCCCAAGAGAGATATCTCTTGCCTTTTCCCAACTGGCTAGCAGTCTCTCACTAATCTTCTTCTGACTTGTTATGACTGGAGGCTTGAACTGAGCAAGTAAACAGAGGTACTGTGCCAAGACAGCTTGGTCATATCACTGGTAATGTCTTTTTTTATTTGTGTAAGTTCTTTGGTTCTTTTCACTGATTTGCCTGATTGTTAATCGCATCTCAAAGCATCTCTCAATGTAGGCAACTCCGACTTCAGGGAGCTCTCTCCCCAGACCCAAGATAGTGACTGAGATGGCTGGATTTTTGGTTCCGTCCCGACACAAGCAGCCATCGCAAATATTATCAACTTATAAATGCATCAGAATTGAAACAGAAAAAAATATTGTTAGTTGATTGTTAAAGAATGAAGTCAGAAAGCAATGTTCACTATTTAATTGTAATGCACTAATGCAGCTGTACGTTAATGCACTAATGCAGCTGTACGTTAGATTTTCGATAAATTTCACGCTAAAATTTACCAAGCAAAAGGTTGCAAAATATTGAAACTGAAATTATTTTCTGTTTATATACACTAAAATCTACCAAAAAAGTGATGGGCCATTAGTTTTAGCTGATCTTCCCTCCTATGACACACCCTACTGCAGTACTCCAGCGCCGTGGGAGTCACCGCCAGCAGTCTTCAACATTCTACAAGCTGGGACAAGAAAGGCTGACTGTAACCCACACAAGCTCCAACAGATACCAGAGAGAAACATGAAGGCTACAACTCCGCACAAAAGTACAGTGTATTACACAGACCGTTCCGTAGAATTCAGCAACACGCGGGAGATTCAAGAGCTGATCGGCGATGTTTACGTGGAGAGGAAAATGAAGCAAGAAGACGGAAAATGTACCTCACCTCTGGTGGAGTTTTACAAGAAACTAGAGATGGGTACACTTGGATGGGACACCATCCCAGTGAAGCCGCACATATGAAGACCGACGAGGTGCCACGCAGCAAAAAAGTGTCCTTTAACCAAGAAGAAATGAGCAGCTTGTGGCGGCCCTCATTCCTCCTCCGACCGGGAGTGTCCCAAGTGAAGGGAGGAGTGCAAGGTAGCTAAGGTGTGAAACAAGAAACATCTTAGCTACAAGGAGGTTTTCTTTGTAGTGAATAAAGAAGAAAATAAGATACAAGAATGTAACAAGACAGAAGAAAAGAAGAAACAAGAACCAAACGAGAGAAAAGAAAAGAAAAACAAAGAAGAACAACACGAAACAGAAATCTTAAAAGTAAGACTTACAGAATCAATAAACCTCTACGATTCATTACAAGAAACAGACTACCAGAAAGAAGAAAAGTGGGAAGTGCAGAAAACCCAAAGAAGAACAAAAATAATAGGTAAAAGAAATGAGACTACGGCCGAAATGACCATACAGTAGAGATTGACAGCAGCAAAACCAACCACACCGAGAGACTCACCTCAACACCTTCAGTGTTCACACACTACAAGACCTTATTTACTGCTAAGTACCTTGTCGTCTTTGTCTCTTTCATATATCAGGTAACGTAACATCAGCCTTGGCTCATGACCTGATATTATTTTACATCTCACGTTCCTAACGTGACTAGTAGTAAATTATATATCATCCCTGTGCACTTGCGATTGTTCGTGTGTCCTAGTCATCTTCACTTACCATCAGGACCGACCCTCCACTTCTGGAGAGACAGGATATGGTGCGCTACGGACAGACAGAAAGACACAAGCACACGCACACACACAAAATGTATTTATTTATAATACTGTATATAATGTTTTGAAGACAGAGCTGAAATTTTATCACTCCACGAGATGCGGGGCGGATTTGCCCCTCAGGGGCCGACTACGACCACCCACCCGATAGGTGGATGCATTTCCAGTCTGAAAGATAGAAGAGCTGAAATCTGGCAAAGGTGCGAGCGAGTGAGAGCTAGTGGCATTGGGGATGGACGTGCAGTGTATCCTGTTCTTCCACTGGTTGCCAAACTCACACTGAGTGTTGAATTTTGGCATATACACACGGCTATAAGGAAAGAGCATCACCAAATTATTATATTCAGCTGCGAGAAACCCCGGTCACTCAATGGGTTAATATTTGTTTCAGTACTATTAAGCATATGGTGTAGTCAACTCATTAAACGCCCACGTTACGAATTAAAGCCTTTATGAATGTACAGTTGTCATTTGATTATTTATGTTGCCTTTTAGAAGTTAAAACAATTTCCTAAAAAAAATGACAAACATAAGAAAAGTGTATAAACGATGTTCTGTTTTCCAGGAAGTAATATTTTCCCTCAAAGCTATTCCATCCTGCATGAAAGTAAATGGGTAATATTTCCCCCTCACTAAAAGCTGCTAATATATCTCAGTACATAAACTTCCAACTCCCAAGTGGCTGAAATATTTATATAATATTTCTTTCCTTCGTCACTGACGTAAAAAAGTATGTAATGTCTGAAAGGAATTTTAATAGGAGTATTGGTGTAACCGCCAATCAGACGGTTAGAGGGTGAATAATACTTCTCACGTCGTACACGAACATTATAATTCGGTCAAACCTGTTGAATACAATTCATTTAGTATTTCAAATAAGTCATACATAGGCACTCTCACATAAATGTTTAATCCAATATATATTTACATAACACAAAAACAATGACACAGTTTACCTGTGTACAGAATAAGTACTAGTTAAACTTACGTGTTGAAAGTCTAGAGAGAAGCCAGGGTAGGTGTTGACTCTAAGATATAGGTAGCTATACTGAAATGCCCACCCTATAGCCTGGCCCCTTGGCTGGTCAGCTATGGCTGAGTCAGGTGATTATAATTATACATAAACAAACTCCCTTCAAACCCTCCAACCTCCTTCTGGGCCTCTCATCTTCAACCATCTCAACACTCTGCATTGTGAGTTACAGCCTAACATAACATTTGATTATGTCATCATAATTATGTACCGCTTGCGGTAACACCCACTCCGTTGAGCGTTCACGCTCAAAACCAGATCAGGCCTTTGATACTTAAGTTTGTCACGTTCATGCGACTATGCTGCCCTCAGGCTGGTGGTATTTAACTTTGTCACGTCCTTGTGACTATGCTGCCCTCGGGCTGGTGGTATTTAACTTTGTCACGTTCTCGTGACTAAGCTGCCCTCAGGCTGGTGGTATTTAACTTTCATTTTGTCACGTTCTCGTGACTATGCTGCCCTCAGGCTGGTGTTATTTAACTTTGTCACGTCCTTGTGACTAAGCTGCCCTCAGGCTGGTGGTATTTAACTTTAATTTTGTCACGTTCTCGTGACTATGCTGCCCTCAGGCTGGTGGTATTTAACTTTGTCACATTCTTGTGACTAAGCTGCCCTCGGGCTTGTGGTATTTATCAGTTCCTTCTGACATCTCGGTCCTTTGACGGTCGGACATCATCATCTTCATGTGTGGATACCCAATTCATTCTCCTGGCCGACTCCGTCAACCCTTTCCATTGCTCCCTCCAACAAGCATAATTTTGTCACAGGTCGCAACATTGTGGACGTCGTCGTCTTAACCACTGCCTGTCGGACAAGTCCATCCTCTCCAGCCTTGACTTCCATCACTCGACCAAGGTGCCATTTGTTGCGTGGACTATTTGCTTCTGCTATAATGATTAGGTCACCAGGGCGAAAGTTGCGCCGTGGTCTGAAATGCACTTGTCGAGTTCTGAGTTGAGGGAGGTGCTCCGACAGCCAGCGCTTCCAAAATTGATCTGCAAGGTACTGGACATGCTTCCACCTTCTGTGGTATGATTCGCCTATTGACCTTCCACCTAAGGGAAGATTACCCCTTTGACTTAAGTGCAAAAGATCAGCAGGAGTGAGAGCCTTTAGTTCATTTGGAGTGTTTGGAACCGGGATGATTGGCATCTCGTTAACTATGGCTTCCACTTCACAGAACAGTGTTTGCAGACGTTCATCGTCTAAAACTTGTGAGCAAACAATCGCCTCCAAAACCTTCTTTACTGCGCGAATCTGCCTTTCCCACACTCCACCCATGTATGGGGCAGCTGGTGGAGTGAAGACCCAGTCAATATCTACTTTAAGTAAGGCACCTCTGAGTCTGTCATCTTGCTCCCAACTTTTCACTGCCAGTTTGAGCTCTTTGGCTGCCCGTACCATGTTTGTCCCATTATCCGACCTAATACGCTCTGGTGTAAATCTGCGTCGTGAGAACCTTGTTATTGCGTTGAGGAAGGCATCTGCGTCTAATGAGGCCAAGACTTCTAGATGAACAGCCCTAATAGTTAGACATGTAAACAGATATCCCCAGCGCTTAACCTGCTTCCTTCCTACCTTGAAAGTGAATGGATCAAAACAGTCCGTTCCAATATAAGCAAATGGAGCCTTTCCAGGAGTGACACGATCTATTGGTAAGTCAGCTTGCCTTTGATGCCGACTTCTCCAGTTGTTCCGTCGGCACACTACACAGCGTTGTATGATTCTATCAAGCAAGCGTCTGCCCTGGGGAATGCAATACCTTTGCCTCACACACGACATCGTGTGTTCTCGTCCGGCATGTCCGGCTCTCTCTTCGTGCATCTCCCGCACCATGATTTCGGTGATGTGGTGGTCTCTAGGCAGCAAGAATGGCTCCTCACCACTTCGCCCAAGAAGGGTTCCTTTAATTCTTCCCTTTGATCTGAGCAACGTTAGTTCGTCCAAGTAAGGTTCCAGTTTATATAGCTTATTGTCCTTCGGCAGCTCACCCTTTATGAGAGTTTGGATTTCTTTCTCATAAGCCTCTTTCTGTACCAATTTTATAATTGTCTGCTCAGCCGACTGTAGTTCCTCAGTGCTTAGCCTCTTCACTTTGAGGCGCAGGTCTGCGGTCCTTGTACTGGACCCAAGCCACCAAATGAACTTTTTAATCCATGCCAACCCTTTCACCAAGCGGTAACATGATGAGTACCTGAGCCACAGTTTGGCGAGGGACCACTTTGACTGCTCGCTCACTGCCAGAGCAACTACAGATCTCTGGTGTACTTCTCGTTTCACCTCCAGTAAGTCGTTCAGAACTGCTGGCAGTTCCTTTCCCTTTGGCCACCGTTCTTCAACACTGAGTAGAATGTCAGGACCTCGTATCCACCGAGATCCTGCAACCAGGTCCAGGACAGGTAATCCCCTCGTTGCATCATCTGCTGGGTTCAGCGATGTGCCGACATGTCTCCACTGATCAGTTCTTGACAGCTCTTGTATGACTGCTATCCTGTTGGCTACAAACGTTTGAAATCGTCTGCTCGAATTGGCGATGTACTGCAAGACTAGCATGCTATCCGTCCAAAAATAAGATTCGTGTATGGTCATGGTCATTTCTCGGCGAATCGTTCGATCAGCGTTCACTGCCAGGACAGCTGCACAAAGTTCCAGCCTTGGTATTGTTAGTTGCTTGAGTGGGGCCAGCTTGGCCCGTCCGTACACGAAAGAGCACTGGATACTTCCGCCAGAGTCTACCATTCTCGGATAGGTCACCGCACCGTAAGCAGCCTGCGATGCATCGCAGAAGGTGTGCAACTGTGCTGAGATGATTTCTTTAGCACATGCTGTTATTAGGCATCTGGGTACCCTTAATTTCCCTAGGTGGGCCAGTTCTCCTAGCCAGGTGCTCCAGGTCGTGTGATTAACAGCCGACAAAGGTTCGTCCCACCCTAATCGACACCTGCATTCACACTGAAATAATATTTTAGCCCTGATGATGAATGGGGCCACGAACCCCAGTGGGTCATAAATAGAACTGACCAGGCTTAGTACTCCTCTCCTGGTCACTGGCCTTGAGTTTGGTTGCACCTTGATGGCGAGCTGATCACCTTCCAGGAGCCACCTAACCCCCAGGGCTCGCTCCATTGGCAATTTGTCTTGCCTCAGATCAATTTCCTTCAGTGCATTTTGCCTCTCCTCCGGTGGGATGGTAGCCAACACTCCTTTGTGATTACTGGCCCACTTAATTACCCTAAATCATCCACACGCCAACAGTCTTCGAAGCTGACACGCTAACATTGATGCTTCATTTGATGAGTCCAGCGACATGAGCAGGTCGTCAACGTAGAAGTTGACTTCCGCTTGCGCCACCATGTCGGGAAACTCGGATCTGTGGTCTTGGAATGTGCACCGGAGAGCGTAAGTTGCACATGAAGGGCTCCACACCCCACCAAAGGTGTGCACCTTCATCCTGTAAGTTACTGACCCTCTACTCAGGTCCCCATTCTCCCACCAGAGGAATCTTAACGCATCTCGATGTTTTGGCGCTACATGGATTTGATGGTACATAGCCTCCACATCTGCCATGATGGCTGTAGTTCCTGGCGAAACCTAAACAGGACTCTAAGTAATTTGTTGTTGAAGTCTGGACCTTGTAGTACCTGGTCGTTCAGCGATGTCCTTTTGTGTTTGGCTGCACAGTCAAAAACTGTGCGTACTTTGTTTGGCTTATTTGGGTTCAACACCGGGTGATGAGGCAGATACCAGACCAGTCCAGTATCTGACTCCAACTGGCACTTAGGCACTGATTGAGCATGTCCTTCAGCAAGCAGTTTATTTATTTCCTCTACGTATCCTTGTCGCAGCCGTGTGTCCTTGCATTGTCTCCTTCGAAGCCCATCTAGTCGACGCTCCGCCACGGCCTTGTTGTTTGGAAGTTCCGTGTTCTCATTACGGAACGGTATGGGAAATTGGTAATGACCATTAGTTTTGATGCCTGTCTCTGACCATAGCCTCAACACTCTTTTGTCCTCAAGTGAATGAGCTGCTGACTGCACGGCTCCTGTGTCCCCACTTTCCAGCTCCCCAAAAAGCTTAACTTGTCTTTCCTGACGGGTTTCAGGACTCACGACAGTTTCGGTCATCAGGTATCCTGACATGCAACCTCTTGTGTGTCTTGTTGCCCCACCGGTCCATTTACTGTCCAACCCAGTCGCGTTTTTATGGCGAATTTCATTCCATCCATTCCTGCTCTGACCTCCAAGGGTACCAGGGCCTGTGGCACATCTTGTCCTATCAGAATTTCTATGCTGTTGCTCTGCAATTCTGGTAATTCCACACCTCGCAGATGGGTCCACCTTGAGATATCACTTGTGTTCGCTACGGAGTTGTACAGCGTTGTGGGGAAATTTTGTATAATGAGTACTTTCGGCATAAGTATGGTTCTGCCTCGTTTCTTGCCTGCGCCAACGACTTCTAGATCTACCTCCGCTGACTCGAGTATCATCTCTTGGGCAAGTGTACCCATGGTTACCAGGGTAGGTGTCCCTTTCACCCTTAGTTTCTGTGCCAGATCTTTGGTGCAATACAACCTGTCGCTGCCTGAGTCCAAGAGAGCTAAAGTTCTGATGTGATTTTGTTGGTGTGAGTCCTTTCCCCGAATCTTCACACTCACTATGGGCAGTACAATCTTGGCATTTTTCGTCGATAGTCAGATGTCGCTTTCGCAGCTGTATGGGTTTTCATGGGCGTCCTTTGTCCCTGTAGCATAGACATGGCCTATTTTTCCGGCCGTGTTCGAATTGTCGTTGGCTTTGTGGGCCATGCCACCAGCAGAGGTGCCTACCACTGACTCCTATTTCACGAGACCTTGAAAATTTCGCTTTACGCCACCCTTGCTTGTGTTTGACATACTTGCAGTAAGTGCCTCCCTTCGTTCTTGATGCAACAGTCTAGAATGCTTCTCTTTGCACCCATCAGTGCCACACCTGAAGCGTGACCAACACTCAGCAACAAGGTGGCCCATTTTCAGACACAAGAAACAGCAACGTAATCTTTTTACCCTCTCTAACCTCTCCCTCACTGACATGCTCCAGAATTCGTCGCACCCTGCTAATCCATGTGCTCTGGAACACACTGGGCACGAGCCTTTTCCAGAGCTTGTTTCTCCTCTATTGCCTTTCGCTTCACTGATAGTCACTAGGCCCACGGCACGTTTGCTTGACGATGATCCTTCTGGTCTTTTCTTACTTCCTTCTTGACTGTCCTCGCTTGATAGCAGAGCCATGTCATCCATCGTCACCGCTTTCTCCTCCAAATATAGCGCTAACCGCTTCACCAGCCCTGTTCTGTGTCCTGTCGACTTCTGATAATTTCGTACATCATCCACACAGCGTTCCCTCAATTTGGGGGGAAGCTTAGTCACCAGCGTTCTGAAGGTCTGCCTTGATTCAAGTTCAGACATCAAGTTCAGATTCTCCAGATGGCTTTCTGCAACCCATAGCTGAGATGCCAGTTTTCGCAGCCCTTCGTCGTCGAAAGCCCCCACTGAGCGAGCGTCTATGAGCCTTTTTACCAGCTGGTCCGCATATGCATACTTATCTCCAAACCTTGCCTCCAGGATCTTGATTTCCTTGTTGTAGGCTCTGTCTGGCTCTAGATAGTCGCATCCCATGATTGCTTGATGTAACTCTTCTCCTTCACAAGCATCCATGAGCAGTTGGTACTTGTACTTCTCTGGCACGGCCGCATTTGTCATGTATCGACGGAAGGCATGCATAAAGGTCCAAAACTCCGCCCGCCCTTGTCCTTTAAACTTGGGAAGGGTGGCTTGCGGCATGCGCATCGTAGCCACTAGCTCTCTTATTTCTTCACCCTTCTCTGATTCTCCCTGTGGATGCATAATTGTGACTTGAGGCGCTTTGTTTGCAAGCATTGGCGGTAACGACGATCCCATTTTCTCGACATTGACCGATGTCTGTTGCTGGGTTTCTTCCCGTACTATTGGCTTCTCATAATTGCTGGAGTTCTCTGTCGAAGGCTGTGAGCTGTCACTTCTTCGTGTTAGTGCTGATGTCTCTTGACCCGCCATCATTCCAGTGTGCATCGTTTTCATCCACCCTGCCTTAAGCTCTCACAGGGCTCGGTTTACTTCATCCGACGCTGCCTCAGCTCTGGCCACTGCTTGTTGTTAATACAATTCCCTACTGTGACCTTCCCGTGGATCTCCTGGTATTGCAAGCTCATTTCCTGTTTCACCACTCTCTGATTGTACCTCGGCGGGCGGATCCATTGTCATTAGGTCAAAATGTTTGCTTCTATCTAGTTCCGACTCTCCTTCCATGTCATCAATATACCCAATCTCCGACATCTTGCTTATTCAGGTAATTTGAATTGCGTTCGTTTCCACCACTCTTGAATCAGGGCTCGTTCGTGTGCCTCGTCATACACTCGCACCTGATATCATTACAGACTTTACATTGATATTTGGGTTATTTACAAAGCAATATCACTTCAGTCAATTATGACTGCTAATTGTGTTCTGCACTTACGCCAGACAACAATAATGACATGTGTTTTCATTCACATATGCACTACACTGGGAGTGATGAAGACCACCCAGACAAGACTATTTTCTGGACTAACAAGGTTTAACTATTATCGATGCGAGAAGTATACGGACGTTGCACTGCACTTACTCGCCACTGGATACACACACATCCACACCCACACGCTACACTAAGAGTGGCTGAGCTCACTCTGACAACAATATTTTCTTCAATAACAAAATGTTCGAGTATTATCGCCACTATAAATCTACGGGCGTTGCACTGTAATCCGTGGCACTGGGAACACGCGCGCGCGCACGCACACACTCACGCTCATCCCTCCATTGGGTTGAGTTAAGTTGACCTTGGTTACTGCTGCCCGCGCGTTGGTTCAAGGTAGCACTGCTACACAGTAGACATTCACGTTTGACTGTAACCGCCAATCAGACGGTTAGAGAGTGAATAATACTTCTCACGTCGTACACGAACATTATAATTCGGTCAAACCTGTTGAATTCAATTCATTTAGTATTTCAAATAAGTCATACATAGGCACTCTTACATAAATGTTTAATCCAATATATATTTACATAACACAAAAACAATGATACAGTCTACCTGTGTACACAATAAGTACTAGTTAAACTTACGTGTTGAAAGTCTAGAAAGAAGTCAGGGTAGGTGTTGACTCTAAGATATGGGTAGCTATACTGAAATGCCCACCCTATAGCCTGGCCCCTTGGCTGGTCAGCTATGGCTGAGTCAGGTGATTATAATTATACATAAACAAACTCACTTCACACCCTCCAACCTCCTTCTGGGCCTCTCATCTTCAACCATCTCAACACTCTACATTGTGAGTTACAGCCTAACATAACATTTGATTATATGTCATCATAATTATGTACGGCTTGCGGTAACAATTGGATTTAGCGAAAAATTTTACTTTAAAGAAAGTATTTGGACTTAGAAATAAAAATGGGTTTGGAGGAAGCTTATATGTAAGAGACAGACACAGAGACAACAAATCTCCACGGACAGCCATACCAGACTGTTGGCTGCCAGACTTCAAGCTGATGCTCGGGATTCCTGCAGCGGCTGCAACTCAGGGCCAAGGTCAGCTACACATTCTGATCACACTCGTTTCTTGCGCTTCACTAGTTTTCTCCGTTCAACTTTACTCGAGCCATTTACACTCCATTTCAAAGCTTCATTTCTTACTTTCTTGAAAAGGTTCCAGTCTTTTTTTTCTCCAGGAGTTTAGTTACTGGCCCACCCAATCAAGAACCCCAGTTACTTCTTCTATCATCAATTGTCTCTGTTACGAGTGTCGGAATAAGAACCAAAGAATAGATTACTGGTCGGACTATGAACTTAGAATGATTCGTTGTGTAGACACTGAAGCATAAAAAGTACAGTAATGCATTGATTTATTTAAGGTAGTTTAACAGCAGTTAAAATTTAGATATGATATGTTATTCTTGAATATAGTAACATTAGTTTCGATGCATTTAGCGAAACAAAGTAATGTTTATTGTATTAATCTCGAATACTAATGAATGAGTGAATATTCGATAGTTATTTGTGGATTTGCAACTTGAATGTTTTTTGTTTTGACATTATTTCCGCCCATCTCTGGTCGCTTAGTTTTATCTCTCAGAGCCGGGTGACTTTAGTATTGGGCTGGCAGTCATAAGATAAGTATTTACTCTCCTATTGTATATTTCTAGTGGTATAACGTGTAAACCTTTCTCGACTTTTAAGAACACCAAGTATTATATAGTGATTTATATGTGAGATTGTGGTTAGGCATATTTCAGCACGCCACAATAAGATAACTTACTTGTTTATGAGTGTTCCCGCAAGCAGTAATGAGTAGGATGACACATAAACAAACATTATGTTAGGCTGTAAGTCATGTCATGTTTATTGGGTGTGCCTGCCCGTATACAGTATGTAGAGTGTTGAGATGATTGAAGATGAGAGACCTAGAGGAGGTTAGGTGCTGGGTGGTAGTAAGGGAGCTTGTTTGTGTATAATCACCTGACTCAGAAGCCATCACCCATCGAGAGAGGGTTGAGGAGGCGACAACAGGGTGTATCGACACTGTAGCTATTCAGACCACAGAGGCAACACCTAACCTGGTTCCTCTGTAGTTATTCAGATCACAGAGGCAGCACCTAACCTGGTTTCTCTTGAGACTTTCAACAAGTAAGTTTTAACTGGTACTTACTGTATTGTGTTCACAGGTAAACTGTGTCCATTGCATTGTTTATCATTGTGACTACATAAAAATATGGAAAATTAAGTACTCATTGTAAGTGTTAAGATTAGACTGATTACATAGCTATGATTGTTATGTAAATATATATTGGATTAGACATTTATGTGATTGCCTATGTATGATATATTTGAAATACTAAATGAATTGTATTCAACAGGTTTGAACAAATTATAATGTTCGTGTCCAACGTCACGAGTCTAAGTATCCTTTAATCTCCTGACTGGCCGTTACAGTCAAACGTGGATGTCTACTGTGTAGCAGTGTGTTAGCTTGAATCAACTAACGGGCAGCAGAGTAACCAAGGTCAACTCAACTCAACCCACTGGAGGGATGCTCGTGAGTGTGTGCGTGCGCGCGCGCGTATTCCCAGTGCCACGGATTACAGTGCAACACCCGTAGATTTATAGTGGCGATAATATTTGAACCTTTTGTAATTGAAGAAAATTGTGTTGACAGAGTGAGCTCAGCCACTCTTAGTATAGCTTGGCTCACCAACACGCGTCACTCGAGGGACGAGTGCGTGCGTGTTGGTGTGTATGTGTGCGTATCCAGTGGCGAGAAGTGCAGTGCAACGTCAGTATACTTCTCGCATCGATAATAGTTAAACCTTGTTTGAAGGTTCCAAGTGTTCCCTGAAGAAAGCAGTGATGGGTAGGGAAACACCGGGTAACACTGAAGTCCATTTATTCGGATAGGAGAAATACAAGTGGTGACTAGCGTGTGCCATGCACGGCCCACGAAGTCAGACTGAGACTGCCTTGCCATATTAGGGTGTGTCATACGGAGGCGAATTTTTTTTGTTTGAGTTTGAAAAATCGGCCCATGGTATTAATGATGTAGTTCTATGTGCAGAATCATGTGATATCTTCAGATTTGAAAAGTTTTCATTTTTTGCTAGGTAAATTTTAACTTGAAATCTTATGAAAATTCAGTATTCCCACCCTTTTACCAACACCACTAAATAGCTTATTTAAAGTAAAGTAAATGTATCAGGTTAATTTATTAGGATGAAAATGATCCAGAATAGTGAAACGAATGATCTTGACACATTTATTAAATTTAATATTCCTTTAGAAAACAAAATCATCAAATACAAAAACCGGTTTTACTACTACGACCCGGTGTTGCTGCACACCATAGAGAACATGTCTTTCTTGCTTCTGTTTCTACTCATCACCTCCCTGCTGACCACCTGAGCTCGGATGTAGCCTTCCCTCCTCTCCTGGCTGTACACGTGACTGCTGGCCTCGCTCACTTGCTGTACACAACGCTCTATACTCTGGGTGTGCGAGGGCCAGGCAGGGACATGCATGGGGTTGTCCAGGAAAGCTCTGACTTGAACATTGGTGAGGCTGCAGGTAAGAGGGGGCTCACTGCCAGCCTGGATGTTATCCAGATCTATGAGATCAGTGAGGGTCTTGGCACCTAGATTGACTTCAGGAGTCTTCCTGACCCTGAAGGAATCGTCACCAACTAATTCGTCATGCCCAGATCCTCTCATAAGTCTCATATCCAAGATCTTTTTGACTGCCACTCTTCTCTCCTCCTCATCCTTACTGCAGAGCATTGTCTGCAGAACTGCCTCGGGATGAGCATACCAGGAAGATCTCCTCACAGTCTGCTCCACAATCTGAACAACCTTCCTTGGCTGACTCCTCAGGAGCTCAAGCTGGAAGAGAACATGCCTCGGACCTTCGGAGAACGATGACTTGACCTTGGTGTTGAACCAATTTGGCAAGTAGACACTCACGATGAATTGGACAATAAGTCTCAGGTTGTGAAGCTGGTTCCTTTCAGTTTATGATGAGCGACCCAAATTCTGCAGAACCTGAGAGCCGTGTGAGCCACCTAGAATGTGAGACTGGACCTATCTGCAGGTAAGCAAGTCTATCAGGCATGACCCCAGTTTTGATGGCACTGCAAATCATGTAACCGTAGTACTGGTCAGTACTCAGGTCGTCAATGACAGTATGTGCAAGCTCAACGAGTGGAGGGCCAACTGTGATTTTTTCAAAGCTCGGATTTATTTCTAACTCAGTGGCAGAGTCCAGCATCTTGCCAAGAGGACCAGACCATCTGTTGTTTGAAAGAGTCATGCCATCCAGCTCCTGGATCAGATGTCTGAGTGGCAACTCGTTGGTGTGGAGGTCACAAACAATCCAGACCAGCTTCCTCCCAATCTTCCGCTCTATCCACTGTATGACCCCCCTTGTCACCCTGTGTTCGTGTTGGTGCTGTCCCCTCCAATGGCCTGCAGGGTCTGGTCTACGTTCCTCTCTCTGAGCCAGTTCACAATGTTATCTGCCACTATCTCAGCTGGTTTCCTGATGTCATCTTTCTCTGGAGTGAAATGCCACAAATACCCCTCCTGGTTCACTGCAGCAGGAGTAGTGTTCCTCCTTCACCATGGCAGGGAACAACTTGTCAGAATCTCCAACTTTCATGAACACTTTAGTGTCATCCCTTCTCCCATCAAAGAACAAACAATTGATTCCATTTTCTCTTATCCCCTTATCAAACTTCTCTTCTAGGTTACTGACAAGTTTCTCCTGACCTCTCCTTACTTTGTTATGATCTATCACCAGGTGAACATCATCAGGTGTTATCAAACCACCGTCAATCCAGGCAGCTGTTGCTATCTCTGCAGTTTCTCTGAGACCAGTGTGGTGTCGCATGCTGGCCAGAGCTATGCTCGGGATATCTTTCCTATTTCGAATGTTATGCCTGGAAGGTTTGGGATCATTATTTTCTGGGTTAGGGACAAAGTCACCATTCTCCTGGTCAGCACTCGGATCAGCCATGGGGAAGTCATTAAACTCTGAATCAGCTTGACTCCAATCATCGGCCTTTTTTACCTCACCCTGGGCCTTCTCAAGTCTCTTTTCCTCGGCAACTCTTCTCCTCTTCTGTCTCTCTGTGGCAGCCTCCTGTCTCTTGGACTCCGGAATATCTTGGCTAGAAATCATGAGAGCCCCTATACTGCCAGTCTTCTCTGTGCTTTGACAAATGCCAGTTCGATCACAGGAATCTTCAGTTCACGCTTGCAATACAGGAGATGTGGGCCTCGGATTTACAGTCACGATCGCATCCAAACTCAGGACAGAGAACAATTGGGCACTTGCAAGTAATTATGTCAAATAACTGGTCCAGTTGCTTGGCAAAGCTGTCCTTAACTGCAAGTTTTCCTCTCCCAAGAGAGATATCTCTTGCCTTTTCCCAACTGGCTAGCAGTCTCTCACTAATCTTCTTCTGACTTGTTATGACTGGAGGCTTGAACTGAGCGTTAGCCAGAGTGTACTGTGCCAAGACAGCTTTGGTCATATCACTGGCAATGTCTTTGTTTGTGTAAGTTCATTGATTCTTTTCACTGATTTGCCTGATTAAACACCCCATCTCAAAGCATCTCTCAATGTAGGCAACCTCCGACTTCAGGAGCTCTCTCCCAGACCCAAGATAGTGACTGAGATGGCTGATTTTTGGTTCCTCGTCCTGACACAAGCAGCCATCGCAAATATTATCAACTTATAAATGCATCAGAATCTGAAACAGAAAAAAATATTGTTAGTTGGGTTGTTAAAGAATGAAGTCAGAAAGCAATGTTCACTATTTAATTGTAATGCAATAATGCAGCTGTACGTTATATTTTCGATAAATTTCACGCTAAAATTTACCTAGCAAAAGGTTGCAAAATATTGAAAATGAAATTATTTTCTGTTTATATACACTAAAATCTACCAAAAAAGTGATGGGCCATTAGTTTTAGCTGATCTTCCCTCCTATGACACACCCTATTGCCATATGGCAGCCTCGGGGCAATGTTGCCACATAACACGTGCAGTGTTGCCACGTAATTATATACATAGGTGCTACTCGGCACAGAAGCTTATATACAAGGTTGCTACTCGGCACAGTAGCTTAGATACATAACCTACATTGTTAGTCCAGAAAATAGTCTTGTCTGGGTGATCTTCATCACTCCCACTGTAGTGCATATGAGAATGAAAACACATGTCATTATTGCTGTCTGACGTAAGAACAGAACACAATTAGCAGTCATAGTTGACTGAAGTGATATTGCTTTGTAAATAACCCAAATATCAATGTACAGTTTGTAATGATATCAGGTGCGAGTGTAAGACGAGGAACACGAATGTGCCCTGATATATGAGTACAAGTAAAGGCACACGAACGTGCCCTGATAATTTTAGTGAGACAAAGCACACGAACTTGCCCTGATTTAAGAGTGGTGGAAACGAACGCAATTCAAATTACCTGAATAAGCTGGAAAGTGGGGACACAGGAGCCGTGCAGTCAGCAGCTCATTCACTTGAGGACAAAAGAGTGTTGAGGCTATGGTCAGAGACAGGCATCAAAACTAATGGTCATTACCAATTTCCCATACCGTTCCGTAATGAGAACACGGAACTCCCAAACAACAAGGCCGTGGCGCAGCGTCGACTAGATGGGCTTCCAAGGAGACTATCCAAGGACGCACGGCTGCAACAAGGATACGTAGAGGAAATAAATAAACTGCTTGCTGAAGGATATGTTGAATCAGTGCCTAAGTGCCAGTTGGAGTCAGATACTGGACTGGTCTGGTATCTGCCTCATCACCCAGTGTTGAACCCAAATAAGCCAAACAAAGTACGCATAATTTTTGACTGTGCAGCCAAACACAAAAGGACATCGCTGAACGACCAGGTACTACAAGGTCCAGACTTCAACAACAAATTACTTGGAGTCCTGTGTGGGTTTCGCCAAGGAACTACAGCCATCATGGCAGATGTGGAGGCTATGTACCATCAAATCCATGTAGCGCCAGAACATCGAGATGCGTTAAGATTCCTCTGGTAGGAGAGTGGGGACCTGAGTAGAGAGTCAGTAACTTACAGGATGAAGGTGCACACCTTTGGTAGGGTGTGGAGCCCTTCGTGTGCAACTTACGCTCTCCGGCGCACATTTCAAGACCACAGATCCGAGTTTCCCGACATGGTGGCGCAAGCGGAAATCAACTTCTACGTTGACGACCTGCTCATGCCACTGGACTCATCAATTAAAGCATCGATGTTAGCGTGTCAGCTTCAAAGACTGTTGGCGTGTGGAGGATTTCGGTAACTAAGTAGGCCAGTAATCACAAAGGAGTGTTGGCTACCATCCCACCGGAGGAGAGGCAAAATGCATTGAAGGAAATTGATCTGAAGCAAGACAAATTGCCAATGGAGCGAGCCCTGGGGGTTAGGTGGCTCCTGAAAGGTGATCAGCTCGCCATCAAGGTGCAACCAAACTCAAGGCCAGTGACCAGGAGAGGAGTACTAAGCCTGGTCAGTTCTATTTATGACCCACTGGGGTTCGTGGCCCCATTCAACATCAGGGCTAAAATATTATTTCAGTGTGAATGCAGGAGTCGATTAGGGTGGGACGAACCCTTGTCGGCTGTTAATCACACGACCTGGAGCACCTAGCTAGGAGAACTGGCCCACCTAGGGAAATTAAGTGTACCCAGATGCCTAAAAACAGCATGTGCTAAAGAAATCATCTCAGCACAGTTGCACACCTTCTGTGATGCATCGCAGGCTGCTTACGGTGTGGTGACTTATCTGAGAATGGTAGACTCTGGCCGAAGTATCCAGTGCTCTTTCGTGTACGGACGGGCCAAGTTGGCCCCACTCAAGCAACTGACAATACCAAGGCTGGAACTTTGTGCAGCTGTCCTGGCAGTGAACGCTGATCGAACGATTCGCCGAGAAATAACCATGACCATACACGAATCTTATTTTTGGACGGATAGCATGCTAGTCTTGCAGTACATCGCCAATTCGAGCAGACGATTTTAAACGTTTGTAGCCAACAGGATAGCAGTTATACAAGAGCTGTCAAGAACTGATCAGTGGAGACATGTCGGCATATCGCTGAACCCAGCAGATGATGCAACGAGGGGATTACCTGTCCTGGACCTGGTTACAGGATCTCGGTGGATACGAGGTCCTGACTTTCTACTCAGTGTTGAAGAACGGTGGCCAAAGGGAAAGGAACTGCCAGCAGTTCTGAACGACTTACTGGAGGTGAAACGAGAAGTACACCAGAGTTCTGTAGTTGCTCTGGCAGTGAGCGAGCAGTCAAAGTGATCCCTCGCCAAACTGTGGCTCAGGTACTCATCATGGTACCGCTTGGTGAAAGGGTTGGCATGGATTAAAAGGTTCATTTGGTGGCTTGGGTCCAGTACAAGGACCGCAGACCTGCGCCTCAAAGTGAAGAGGCTAAGCACTGAGGAACTACAGTCGGCTGAGCAGACAATTATAAAATTGGTACAGAAAGAGGCTTATGAGAAAGAAATCCAAACTGTCATAAAGGGTGAGCTGCCGAAGGACAATAAGCTATATAAACTGGAACCTTACTTGGACGAGCGAACGTTGCTCAGGTCAAAGGGAAGAATTAAAGGAACCCTTCTTGGCGAAGTGGTGAGGAGCCAATCTTGCTGCCTAGAGACCACCACATCACCGAAATCATGGTGCGGGAGATGCACTAAGAGAGAGCCGGACATGCCGGACGAGAACACGCGATGGCGTGTGTGAGGCAAAGGTATTGGATTTCCCAGGGCAGACGCTTGCTTGATAGAATCATACGATGCTGTGTAGTGTGCCGACGGAACAACTGGAGTAGTCGGCATCAAAGGCAAGCTGACTTACCAATAGATCGTGTCACTCCTGGAAAGGCTCCATTTGTTTACACTGGAACGAACTCTTTTAGTCCATTCATTATCAAGGAAGGGAGGAAACAGGTCAAGCGCTGGGGATGTCTGTTGACATGTTTAACTATTAGGGCTGTTCATCTAGAAGTCTTGGCCTCATTAGACGCAGTTGCCTTCCTCAACGCAATAACAAGGTTCTCACGACGCAGAGGTACACCAGAGCGTATTAGGTCGGATAATGGGACAAACATGGTACGGGCAGCCAAACAGCTCAAACTGGCAGTGAAAAGTTGGGAGCAAGATGACAGACTCAGAGGCGCCTTACTGAAAGCAGATATTGATTGGGTCTTCAATCCACCAGCTGCTCCATACATGGGGGGAGTATGGGAAAGGCAGATTCGCACAGTAAAAAAGGTTCTGCAGGCGATTGTGGGCTCACAAGTTTTAGACGATGGACGTTTGCAAACAATGTTCTGTGAAGTGGAAGCCATAGTTAACGAGAGGCCAATCACCCCAGTTCCAAACACTCCAAATGAACCAAAGGCTCTCACGCCTGCTGATCTTTTGCACTTAAGTGAAAGGGGTAATCTTCCCTTAGGTGGAAGGTCAATAGGCGAATCATACCACAGAAGGTGGAAGCATGTCCAGTACCTTGCAGATCAATTTTGGAAGCGCTGGCTGACGGAGTACCTCCCTTAACTCAGAATTCAACAAGTGCATTTCAGACCATGGCGCAACTTTCGCCTTGGTGACCTAATCATTATAGCAGAAGCAAATAGTCCACGCAACAAATGGCACCTTGGTCGAGTGATGGAAGTCAAGGCTGGCGAGGATGGACTTGTACGACAGGCAGTGGTTAAGACGACGACGTCCACAATGCTGCGACCTGTGACAAAATTAAAGATAAGTATCAGCAGCCTGAGGCCAGCATAGTCACAAGAATGTGACAAAGTTAAGTATCAGAGCCTGAGAGCAGCATAGTCACATGAACGTGACAAAATTAAAGTTAAATACCACCAGCCTGAGGGCAGCATAGTCACATGAACGTGACAAAATTAAAGTTAAATACCACCAGCCTGAGGGCAGCATAGTCGCATGAATGTGACAAAATTAAAGTTAAGTATCAGCAGCCTGAGGCCAGCATAGTCACATGAACGTGACAAAGTTAAGGAGCTGACAAGTATTACTAGTCTGAGAGCAGCGATAGTCACATGAAAGTGACAAGCTTAAAAATCAGCAGCTGGAGGGCAGCATAGTCACTAGGTGACTAGAACGTTATAAAGTTTAGTATCAAAGGCCTGATCTTGTTTTGAGCATGAACGCTCAACGGAGTGGGTGTTACCGCAAGCAGTAATGAGTAGGATGGCACATAAACAAACATTATGTTAGGCTGTAAGTCATGTCATGTTTATTGGGTGTGCCTGCCCGTATACAGTATGTAGAGTGTTGAGATGATTGAAGATGAGAGACCTAGAGGAGGTTAGGTGCTGGGTGGTATTAAGGGAGCTTGTTTGTGTATAATCACCTGACTCAGCAGCCCTCACCCATCGAGAGAGGGTTGAGGAGGCGACAACAGGGTGTATCGGCACTGTAGCTATTCAGACCACAGAGGCAACACCTAACCTGGTTCCTCTGTAGTTATTCAGATCACAGAGGCAGCACCTAACCTGGTTTCTCTTGAGACTTTCAACTCGTAAGTTTTAACTGGTACTGACTGTATTGTGTACACAGGTAAACTGTGGCCATTGCATTGTTTATCATTGTGACGACATTAAAAATATGGAAAATTAAGTACTCAGTGCAAGTGTTGAGATTAGACTGATTACATAGCTATGATTGTTATGGAAATATATATTGGATTAGACATTTATGTGATTGCCTATGAATGATTTATTTGAAATACTAAATGAATTGTATTCAACAGGTTTGAACGAATTATAATGTTCGTGTCGAACATCGTGAGTCCAAATATCCTTTCACCACCTGACTGGCGTGTTACAATGAGTTACGTCTTTATGGACAACCACGTCGTTTACAGTAGTTTGTTAATTTAAATAAGTGTTTAGTCATTACTTTTATGATTATTATTTTGTCAGTTGGTTGAGTCACTTGTTTGATCAGAGTTAGATTGTCTTTGTTTTATTTTGTACATAAATGATATATTTATTTTTTGTTTATTGATATATGTAATTAAATTTACTTCAGGATTTTCAATATACCCTATAATAATGAGGTGATGATTTCAGTGGGATCTATTACTTGGACCTTCGATACAAATATAACCATAATGATATAGTTAACTCAGCTTTAAGAATAATGCATAGAGAAGTTGAATTTGGATTGCCTTGTTACAACCTAAGAAGCCAAGGTCGTAACAGTTTCAAATTTAAATATAGTCTCCGACACGGCAATACGGTTGAATTACAGAGCATTAACAGACTCCTCCGTTGTTGACGAGAACGAGTACAGGCATGAGATAAGTTACAATTGGTTGGACTGATAGTGCACAGCTGCTGATGAATAACCCAGAAAATCAGATCGTCAACACAATACAACAGTGAGAGCCCCAAACAAAGGAATGTCGGAGCTCGTGAACACTCAAGGTTTACTAGAGCGATTATTTCACCTGTATTGTGTTCTTATCAGAAGAAGGTTCCCAATGAATACACTAGCATGTCAAATGCTGGAAGAAGGGCTTACAAAATAGTTACCAAAATATCGAATTTATATATATATATATATATATATATATATATATATATATATATATATATATATATATATATATATATATATATATATATATATATATATATATATATATATATATATATATACATATTGCTTGTCATTTTAATTTACTTTAATATCCTGGTTCTAGGCTTAACCAAACAAAAAAAAGTGAATTAAATCAAAAGGGAATAAAAATAAATAAAGTAAACCTTTACGAATTTAATAAAATTAAATACTAACACAATAAAGAGCCTCGTAGACTGTCACAACAAATTGATTCACTATCGAAATAATACAAATGATACTAAAAAATCGAAACATCAAAAGAACTGCTTAAACATATAGAATAAAAATAAAGCACTGGATTAAGTTAACACTGCATAAACATATAAAATAACTGACACGGAAATTAACTATAGTGAAACAACACTGAATTACTTAAATGTAACTAAGCAAGCACTGATGGACACATAAGAGACATGAATAGGTACTCACATAGTTATATCACATTGGTGGTGACAGGAACAACACAGAAATAAAATAAAGTATAAGTAACAGGTGACGGGAGTCACTCAAAAGAACGTGGACTGAATGACAGGAGGACTGGACTGAACTCCGTCTGCTGGTGGGTACTATATATAAGGTCGGCTCCCGCCAGTGCGACAAGCCCGTGAAACATGGGTCATTTAACGATGCAGATGGTCGTTAGAGAAACAAAGAATGCTTGTTACAATACTAAATGAAGAAATAAGATGGGCTTGAACAAATAATAACAGTTAAAACCTTAACAGCACAGGGAAAGGTGACTAGAATATATAATAGTAAATATAACACATCATTACAGGACTAATATGGAACAACATGGAAGCATGTTATAAAATATAATAGGTACGACATATATAGAGAAAGAGAGAGTATATATATATATATATATATATATATATATATATATATATATATCACAAGGAAAGAAGGAAACACGAAGTTCACAAGCACTTTCGTGTAATTACACGAAAGCGCTTGGGAACTTCGTGTTTCCTTCTTTCCTTGTGGTTATCAGCTTTTACCTGGCTCACGAGCACCCACAGTGATTCACTTGCATATATATATATATATATATATATATATATATATATATATATATATATATATATATATATATATATATATATATATATATATATATATATATATATATATATAAATTCGATATTTGGTAACTATTTTTTAAGCTCTTCTCTCAGTATTTAACACGCGACTGAATTCATCGGGAATCTCCTTCTGACAACAACATACAGGTGTGTGTGTGTGTCTGTCACAACTCTGCAGATGGGCGGCACAGATAATATGGTCGTTTATGCACTGGGATCTAGACAGCACTGCAATCCGGTCCTGTCTGTGCGACTGAGCAGCCCTTTCGAGGAGCCACTCTCCTCACCCCACACAGGGAGGGGACTAGAAAAGGTGCCCTAAACATAGCCTGCCTAAAAACCCAACCTAACTGGGCAACTGCACCCAGTAAGATCATCCTTATGGGGTCGAAAACACAATGAAAATCACAGATCCAAACAAAAACAAACCATGCAACCTCTTATGGTCGCTACATGGAATGTCAAGACCCTTCTGGATACTGGCACAAATGCACCTCCTGAGAGAAGAACTGCCCTTGTGGCAAAACAGCTGGCTTGGTATAACATCTACATAGCAGCCATCAGTGAGCCCCGGTTGCCAGATGAGGGCCAACTCACAGAACAGGGGTCTGTCTACACCTTCTTCTGGAAGGGTAAGCTTGCTGCAGAGAGAAACCGCATTTATGGAGTTGGATTTGCCATCCGTCAATGCATCCTGAAATGTCTAATTGGATCAACGAGCTCTTCATGACGCTTCAAGTCCCACTGAATCACTCACGTCATGCCTTCTTCATCAGTGCATACGCCCAAACACCGGATGCAGAAGATGACATCAAGGAGGCCTTTTATGCCGACCTCTACAGAGTGCTAACCTCTATCCCCAGAGAAGAGTTGGCAGAGATGCTAACATTTGGCAGGGAACCATAGGGAGAAATGGACTAGGTAAGTGTAATCCCAATGGCCTACTCCTTCCCAGCAAGTTTGCTGCTCACAACCTCACTATTACCAATACCTTGTTTAGGCAGGCCGACAAGTTCAAGGGATCGTGGCAACACCCACGATTCAAACACTGACAACTCATTGACTACATCATTGTCAGAGAAAGAGATCTCCTAGATGTCCTCATCACCCTTGCCATGCGTGGCTCAGACCACTTTGACACTGATCATCGACTTGTCAGACCCAAGCTCCCACTTCACGTTGCCCTAAAACGGCGAAGGCAGCAAGCCTCCAGAAGAGGTTTTAATACTAAGCTTCTGGAGAATCCAGCGGTCGTACATTCTTTCAGAGAGCAGATCAAACATCGGCTTATAAAAAACCCAACAGCAAACAAGGTGAATCCCAGTGCCGAATGGGACACTCGGCCAGTTCAAAAGAATACACAAGGACTGGTTTGATGAAAATGTCCCGGCAATCAAAGTACTCATCTATGGTAAACGTGCTGCTTTTACTGACTGTCAGAACAACTCTCAGTATCGGGCCAAAGCCGATAACTTCCGCAATAAGAAAGCAGTAACCCAGCGAGAACTTCGCAATCTATAGAACGACTGGCTTAAAAATAAAGCATGTGAAGCACAAAAACTTGCAGATCAGCACAAGATGCACGAAATTTTCAATTCCACAAAAATTTTTATGGGCCAGTCACTCGTGGCGCAGGCCCCCTTCGCTCATTTGACGGAAACTACATAATTAAAGACGATGAAGGCCTTTTTCGGCACTGGAAAGAGCACTACCATTCATTGCTCAACCGAAACACCGATATGGCCTGACTACCCAGCAGGTTCCTCAGCATCCAGAGCTGACCCACCTCTGCTATCCTCCATCCCTGGATGAGAT